AGTCATTTTAAAGATATAAACATGAAATATTTTCATCTAATACAATTTTGAAAACTAAAATGATTAAGTCGTCCAAAACGGTCCGTGAATGGAGTCCAACGTTTTTTATGAAAGCTGTTGGAAGAGTTTAGTTGTGTTCTTGTTGTTTTAACTTGTATTAACCCCCTAAAAACTTAAGAAAACATGAAAATATAGGGGTATGAACTCACCTTGTGTGATTTCATTGGATGAATGTTGAAGGAGAGAAGCGTTCAACTCAAGAACACTTGAAGGATTGCTTGAAGATTCGAGAATCTAACACCCTATTGATGGAGTTTGTGTAAGGAATCAATGATTTGAGTAAAAGGAAATGTAATAACCATAAGGAGGGTGATGAGTCTTACCAAATGAAGGAGAAAAGATGGAAAATGACTTGGAAATATCGAATTTGTGTGAGAGAATTTGAGAGAAAAGTGGGTTTGATCTTTGGTGGAAATGAGAGAAGTGAGTAAGAATGAGGAGAGAGAGAGAGAGAGAGAGAGAGAGAGAGAGAGAGTTGTTCCAGCTCTAAAACGTGAGAATGGCTAGAAAAATGATGAGAAAGTACCTTGACATGACCAAGGTATGGTGGGAGGAGTGGCTGACCATTGAGTGGGTGAGGGAGGTGGTTGCTTGTGTCATAAAGTAAAGCAAGGTCAACACTCCACCATAATTACTCTAAGCACTAAATCTTGGATAAGATTTGCATTAAAAACGTGGTTAATTAAGACATATCAGTCTTATTATGTTAAAATATAAGTTTGGATGAAAATCCCCCGTTGAAATAATTAAAACGGGCTTTAAACTGAGTCGTGGTTAAAAACCAGGTAAAAGATGGAAAATTCTGAAGTTTAGGCGAGGTCTCGGCCTCAACAGCCTAAAACCGGAGTGGTTGGGCTTTTGGTGCGGATCCGAGGGAGAAGGGAGGCTACGGTCCGTAGGCGAGATCGAAGCGGGGGCTTGGTTCCAGGTTCGGCAGCTCCGGGCTTGGTGGCTGCGGGCTTGACGGATGCGGCTCTGGGCTTCGGCTAGGTGGTTGCAGCCGAATGGCTGCGGCTACCCAAGGGCCTCGGTTCTTGTTGCTTTCGGTTCAAGAGCGTTCGGCCCTAAGAGGCTTCGGCCCTATAAAGGGGTTTCGGGTATTTTGAGGTATTTTACCCGTTCTAACCTCATTTAAGTGATTTTTGACTCGGTTAAGGGTAGGGATGATCCGAATGATTTCAAAAAGTTACGGGAACTTTTGAGAGAGATTTGGGAGATACTTGGGAGAGATTTCAAATATAAAGAGACAGAGTGAAAACGATTTAGAGAGGTTCCATTTATGACCTTTTTGAGCATCCGGCGTCGCAATGCAAGGTGCGTAAACCTCGTTAAGCCACGTTTTAGTGTCCCACACACTCCCGATGAATGTGCAATAGTGTTTTATCTCTTTGGTTCATTGTTTAGCACTATCAAGGCTAAGGAAATCTAAACACGCGAATTTTCCAAATGACGTTTTCTCATTAAAATAGCGAGTTGTTTAGTAATTACATAACGTAAACCCTAATATACAAGGGTTAATTGAGTCGTCTGGGTTGACTCGTTGACTTTGTTTGACTTTAACTTGACTCAGAATTAACTATTGTCACAATATGTGATTAAATACATATAATCACAGGTGATTTAATACACGATGCCAATTATTAAATCGAAAACACAAAATAAATACGGCCCACGTAAATAATATTTTATTAAATACATATAATCAAATGTAGTTATATGTATCTAATCACATATTATTTACGTGGACAATATTCATTTTTGCATTCTCGATTCACTAGTTTTTCAAGTGTTTTTAATCACATGTGATTATATGTATTTATTAACATATAAATCATATATGATTCGATACATATAACCACATGTGACTCGATACATATAAGCACATGTGATTATATACAAGAGAAAACCTAATGAATCAAAAACACAATAACAAATATTTATAGGTGGGGGTGGGGGTGGTAGCGGCGGATGGTGGAGGCAGGGGGGTGGTGATTGGTGGTGATGGTGTGTAGTGATGGTGGTGACGGGTAGTGGGTAATAATGAGTGGTGGTGGTTGGGTACTGATGGTGGTGGCGAGTGTTGGTTGGTGGTGGTGGGTAGTGATGGGTGATGGGTGATGGGTGATGGGTGATAGGTGGTGATTGATGATGGTGGTTAGTGATGGGTGTTGGTGGGTAGTGATTACTGGTGGGTGGTGGGTAATGATAGGTGGGGGGAGGTGGCGGATGGTGGTGGGTAGTGATGGGTGGTGGGTAGTGATATGTGGAGTGACGGGAGGTGGGTGGTGGTGGTGGAGGTGGGTGGGTGGTGGTGGGTAGTAGGTGGTGGTGGATGATGGGTAGTGATCGGTGGTGGTGGGTAGTGGTGGGTGGTGGTGATAGGTGGTAAGTAGTAGTTGTTGTTGGTGGTGGTGATGGGTGGTAGGTAAGCGTTATGGGTAGTGGTGGCAGGCGGTAGAGGTGGGTGGTTGTGGTTGGGTGGTAATGGTGGTGGGTGGTGATGGTGGTGGTGGGTGGTGGTTGGTGGTTGTGGGTGGTGGGTAGTAGGGATGAAAGTGGGTCCAAACCCGGACCAGATGGACCCTGAAAACCCAGAACCATTTAACGAAATTTTTTAGAACCAGAAACTGGACCGATATATAGGAACCGGTTCCGGGTACGGTACGGGGTAAAATGGGTCTAGAACCGAAAATCTCGGAAATAGGAAAGTGGGTAAGGTGGAATCGGGTAAAATGGGTTTAGAACCGGAAAGCCTAGATTTTTTTTATTTTTATTATTATTTGTTTTTTTGTAATTATCTCAATCGCATAATCTTTCAAACGTTATAAAAAAATTAAAAAAAAAAAATTACATTTAGATTATTGACAACATTTTTTTTTTTTAAAAGTAATGTGATATATCAAAGTTTGTTTAATATTATTGTGAAATATGAGTTTTTAGTTATGTGATTGTAATATATAGTATATATTCATAGGGATGAGTTAATTGTAACATGATTAGAGGTTCTAATTAAAAAAATAGTTAGAATAATAAAACAACAAAATGAATATATAATCTTTTGTAAAAGATTCAGTGTAAATAGTCTAAAAGCTTATAGAACTTTAACCCATTAAGCCAACAAAACAAGTTGATATTAAAAATAATAAAACTTTCCATTTCACTCTTTTCTGATCAAATACACTATTATATAGTCAAATTCACTCAAATCAAACACGATAACTTATTACAAAAGTTATTACAGTATAATGTATTTGGACGATTGCATAAGCCAATTTTTCAAAATTTCCTACAAATGGCGAAATCGCCCTTTTTAATTAAACCATTCTTTAACATATAAAACCAAACTTATAACCATTTATTTAATATTAATATTACATATAAATTATGGTTCCTACAAATAAAGTTCACCAGAGAAGAGAATGGGGGATAGGCTGAGATTTTGTTAAATGAATGTCATGCTTCATGAGTTTTCCATTACTTTAATGTTTTCTCTCTTTTTATTATTATTATTATTATTATTATGAGAGCTCATATGCAAATTGAGATTATGATAAACAACCATCTCCGATCCTACATCCATTTTCTTTAGATAAAAAATGTATAAATAATATTTCATCTTTAACCGACACTATTTTTTATACTAATTTCTATACCAAAAATATATTCCTAGTATATTCATTTTTTAAAACTTATATAGATTATGATAAAATACCCATCAACTTATAAGCTTTTTTACATATTTATTTATATTTCCTATATAAAAACTTTATAAAATGTACAAAAATCAGTTTCGGTCCATTAAACCCGGTTCCGGTTTTTTTACATATCCGGTTCCAAAAACGGGTTCCGGTTCCAAAAACTGGTTCCGGTTTTTTTACCTCATTACTCGGACCCGTACCCGAAATACCCGGAACCCGGATAAGACTAAATTTGGAACCCAATACTCGGACCGTTTAAACATTTTCCGATTATACCGGTTCCGGTTCGGTTTTTCGGTTTTATAACTCATCCCTAGTGCGTAGTGATGGGTGGTAGGTAGTGGTGGTTAGTGATAGGTGTGGTGGTGGGTGGTGGTTGGTGGTGGTGGGTAGTGATGGATGGTGGGTGGAGGGTGGTGGTGATGGGTGGTAGGTAGAGGTGGGTGGTTGTGGTTGGGTGGTGATGGTGGTGGCGGGTGGTGATGGTGGTGATGGTGGTGGGTAGTGATGGGTGGTGAGTGGTGGTTGGTGGGTGGTGGTGGGTAGTGATGGGTGGTAGTGACGGGTACTGGTGATGGGTGGTAGGTAGGGGTTGTGGGTGATGGTAGAGGTGGGTGGTGGTGGCAGGCGGTGGATGTGGGTGGTGGTGACAGGCGGTGGAGGTGGTTGGGTAGTGATGGTGGTGGGTGGTGATGGTAGTGGCGGGTGATAGTTGGTGGTGGTGGGTGGTGGTGATGGGTGGTAGGTACGGGTTGTGGGTGGTGGTGGCAGACGGTGGAGGTAGGTGGTGGTGGCAGGTGGAGGTGGTTGGGTGGTGATGGTGGTGGGTGGTGATGGTAGTGGCGGGTGGTGGTTGGTGGTGGTGGTAGTGGGTGGTGGTGGTTAGTGATGGGTGGTGGTGGCGGGTGGTGTTGGTCGGGTGGTGAATGGTGTTAGTTAGTGGTTTTTAATTGTTTGTATATATATATATATATATATATATTATATATATATATATATATATATATAGAGAGAGAGAGAGAGAGAGAGAGAGAGAGAGATAGGTTCAATTGTTTTTTGCAAATATTGTGTGCCTAAATGCTCCAATCAGAATTTAGGAAAAAAAACATTAATTAAATAATAAATGGTAACTTAGTCATTTTACCTTTATATACCAAAACTAAATATTGTATATTTGGAAAATCATTAAATGAGTATCATCGATCCTTTTTAAATCGTTGTTCATCTCACTAACCCCAATCCATGCTCTTTTCTTTTTTCGATCGGCAGGCACATGAGAGACCCGATTTCTTCTTCCTCCCTCTTCATCAGATCGAGAAGGCATCAGGCGATCGAGAAGGCATCATGGTTGGTCTTAATTTGTTCGTCTCTTCTTCCTTTTTCTGTGGATAACGTTAGTGTTGTTCTCATGGAGGGGGTTCCTCCTGATTTGGAACCTGATGTTATTATGAAAAAAGAAAGGGGAAAAATGCGAACCCGAGAAACAAGCTGAAAATCGATTCTGGTGAGGCTTCTAAGTTACCGTCTGATCCTCTGAAAGCTAAATCAGACACTCTTTTTGTCAATAAGTTTGAATCAGAAGTGAAATCTCCTGTGATAAAAGGATCGAGTGATGTGAGTAAATCCGAAGGCCCTAGGTCTGGAGTGAATTTGGTGGATTCTCTTTTGGATGCTGGATGTGATGCGATTTCTATTGAGAATAAGGGTTTGGGATTGTTGAATGGTTCTGAGGGTGTTGTGATGGGATCGAATATTTCTTCTAAAGTGGTTATGGTTGATATCGCCGGTTCTCCAATGGTTAATAATGTCATTCGCAATCCCATTAAGGAGGATGGAGTGATAGAAGGTTTGAGCTCCCATGTGTTTGAATTTGAAAAAGACATTGAGCACCAATTATTTATTTAGTGCCTACCAACCGTTTGTTAAAACTCCTAAGAGACAAGATTTTTGTTTTTCATGTTTTTCACAGGTTTCAAGATTGGCAAAGGGATAAGTTGTCATTATTGAGAATTTAAAGAAGGTTTCATGTTGCATACCAACTGCTCGATAAAATGCTTAAATCAGGTTTTTGGATTTTCTATCCAATCTTTTTATATAAGTTCAACTATTTTTTTGGCAAATATAAATGGTTTCTTCATAAAGGTTTTTGTTGTAAGTAAGGTGTTTAACAACACTCTTGAATCAACTTTGTTTTAGTTGTATTATAAATTGTTTTGTAGGACCATGGAAGTATCAAATCTGTTAATTTTTTTTTATTCATTTGATTGTTAATAAATTGAGAGGATAAAAATATGTTAATTTTTTTTATTCATGTCTTCCGATTATGATTTTGGTTAATTATTTATATGTTGATAATAAATTCTGCTAGAATTTTACTGTTTTATTTTGATAAAATTTTAATATTTATATGTTGATAATGTATTCTAACAGAATTTTACTGTTGCATTCTAACAGAATTTGTGATACAAATGGCTTGAAGAACTGATGGGAAAGGTTTGAAGAATGAAATATGAATGATCACACTTAATGTTTAAGAATGTTGTTATTTTTTAAGAATTACACTTGTTATTCTTTCAGAATGTTGTTATTATCCAAATAATCACAATTAGTTATTTGGTATATTATTAGTTCAAGAATCTATTTTGTGTATTCTTTTCAGAATGTATTTAGTAGTTTATTATTGGCATTATGTTATTCTGACAGAATATGTTAGAATGTAGTTCTTTTTCAACCTCGGATTCCAGAACTTTATTATTATTCAATAATATTCTAATAGAATAAAATTTTGAAAGAGCATCATTCTAACTAAAAAAATATTCTGACAGAATAAATCAGTTATTTTTACAAATATGTTAGAATTAAAATTGAATTAATTAAAAAAAATCATATTTTTAAAATTAGGAGAATTAATTAACCATAAATATCCGAAAACTTCCTTTTATAACTGTAGTTAATTGTCCAAAATACCCTTTTGCTAAAATTTGTGTGAGTATCTGGTACATCCTATCCTATTGTAATATCATACACTCTCAAATCGTGTTCATTTATGAATTCCATCCATTGGTACAGATTTGTGCATTCTGTCACACAATAGTAAGTAAAAACAAAATAACCTAAGCCTATATATATATATATATATATATATATATATATATATATAATATATATATATATATATATATATATATATATCCCTATCTAATAAAAGAATAGCTACTTTGTCATGTGTCAATCATTTAAAACTTCTCATTAATTAAATTGCCACTTGTCACTCTTTGGTTTTTCCTCATTAATTAAAAATTTAAAATGTCATTAATTGCCTCCTCCCTTTTACACAAATGTAACCGTCATCACAAGTTTAAATTGTAATACTTATTACCTAATTTTATTATTATTATTATTATTATTATTATTATTATTATTATTATTATTATTATTATTATTATTATTATTACGACTATTATTATTATTATTATTATTATTATTATTATTATTATTATTATTATTATTATTATTATTATTAGGGCTAACAATCACATACAACAATCATGCCACTTTTATATAATCCATTCAATTTTATAAATCTCTATATAAAACCCATCATTTTCTTACCACAGTTGTAATGTAATTCAAACATTCAATCTTATATATAATTTAATTTTGAAATAAAAACAATATAAACAACTATATTTGCTCTTTATAATATATATATATATATATATATATATATATATATATATATATATATATATATATATATATATAAGTAGGTGTTAAAGGAGAAAAACGATTTTGATTTTGAAATGGAACTAGCTTTTGAGAGGCTGGAACAAGATTTTGATAGACTGGCTTCTTGTCATCATGTTTGGAAGAGGACGATGAACTCATTTTCCCTGCAAAAATTCTCGAGAAAGAAAGTCAGGAAGTGAGTTATTTTCTCCTTTTATAAATTCTATTTCGAAATCAAAGTTACCTAAGAGGGCTTGCCAACGAGCAAAAATTTGCTTGGAAATAATATTTTTTACATCTTTTTCCAAAATACTTTTTGCAGATTGACAATCTATTCTTAATAAAAAAGTTTTCATAAATAAATCATCTTCAAATTTCTTAATACATAAAACAATGCTTAAAATTTCCTTTTTGACAGTTGAATAATTTTTCTGTGTATCATTCCATGCACCAGAGTAATATCGAACCAATTGCTCTTCAGTTGAGTTAACAAATTTTTGTTTTAAAATTCCTCCGAATCCAATATCACTAGCATCGGTTTCAACTATGATTTTGGCATCGGGATGAGGTAAATTTAAACATGGCAAAGTAGGGACCTTTTGTTTTATATATTTAATTATATCTGTATGTTTTTGAGTCCATGGTTCAGGATTGTCTTTTAATCGATTATAAAGCGGTTTACATATGATCCCTAAATCTTTGAAAAAATCATGGATGTAATTTAAGCATCCTAAAAATCTTTGAAGTTGTTTTTTATCTTTAATTTCATCAGGAAATTTAGTAGAAAATTGCAAGCTTCTTGTTATAGGTCTAATAGTGTTTTTGACAATATCATGTCCTAAAAAACGAATTTCATTTTTAAATAAATGCATTTTTGTTGCAGAGACAGCTAAACCATTTTGATAAATTAAATCATGAAATTGATTTAAATGTTTAAAATGTTGATCAATTGATTTTGAAAAAATTAGGACATCGTCGATATAAGCAATAGCAAAACTACTTATAGGAGTTATGATATCATTCATAATATTTTGGAATTCAGAAGGAGCATTTTTTAATCCAAAAGGCATTACATTCCATTCAAAATGCCCAAAGGGAACATTAAAACCAGTTTTGTATTTATCTTCCTCATGAAGTTGTATTTGCCAAAATCCTGATTTCATATCAAACTTTGAAAATATTTTTGAATCATAAAGCTTTTTTAGCAAATTTCGTTTATTAGGAATAGGATAACGAATCCATTCTAAAACTTTGTTTAAAGGTTTATAATTGATAACTAATCTTGGTGATCCTCTTTCTAATTCTGCAGCATTCATAACATAAAATGCTGAACAAGACCATGGTGACTTAGAAGGTCTTATGAGTTTTTTATTTATTAAATCTTGAATTTCATTTTTACAATGACTTTCTAATTCATTATTCATGTGAATGGCTCTAGATTTTGAAGGAATATCCTTTTCATTAAAAATTTTTATATATGGTAGTTTTACAATATGTTGCTTTCTATTCCAAAAGGCATTAGGAATATTAGAACAAACATTTTTTTCAAATTTTAATTTTAATCCGGTTATTTTATTTTGAATATTATTATCACTTAATTGATTAGTTATTCGAACATTATTTATTTCGTTAATAAGATATTTGGCTTGTTGCGTTTTATAATTAAGGACATTAATTGTTGAATATAGAGGAGGTTCACAAAATTTAAATATAATTTCTTTTCCAAAAACATTGGTTCTTATACCATCATCATGAACCATAAAAGGATATAGTTTTGTAATGAAAGGTGTTCCTAGAATTAAAGGAGAAGAGAGATCTTTTACTAAAATTAGGTGAGTTTTATAACAGTAATCTTGGTCATTACAAATATGAACATCAGAAACTTTATAATTTACAATTAATTTTGTACCTCCGGCACCAGTAAGTCTAGATGTAGTTTTTTCATAAAATTGTGTAGGAAAAATTCCTTCTTGAATACAATTCATATCAGCACCACTATCAATTAAAGCAGTTAGGTTGATTTTAAAATTATCCTTAACTAAAGTAATTTTAGTGTTCCATTTTTGAGAAACTTGATTATTTATAAGTTTACCAATAGTTACATTTTCAATTTTATTTTCTTCTTCATTATTAATTTCTATATTTTTGTTTTTAAAAGTAGACGGTTATTCTTTTCTAAAATTAAAATTTTATTTTTTATTTCTTTTATTTCTTGTTTTACTATTTTTAATTCTTCTTGAAGTTCTTGCATAGAAATTGGCTTTGCTTCAGTAAATCTTTCGTATATACTTTTTAAATTAAAATTTTCATTATTAGCAGGAGTTATGTTATTAGTTTTATTAAGCATCTGTTTTATTAGCAATTCTTGGATATTTTTATCTTTTATAGAATCAAGAGAGTTTAAAAGATCTTTATCATCTTGCGAAAGAACATTAATGGAGCCACTAGTGATTACATTGATTAAATTGTTACAGTGACATTTACCAATACATTCGCAAATATCAGAATCTTCAGAACTTGAAGTAGTATTTTCGAGAATATTTAAATCATTTGTTTGAAAGTCAGAAATACTTTCATCGGAATCTGAATCAGTATTTAAAATAATTTTTCTTATTTGTTCTTTCAAGTCTTCAGAGACATTTAACTCATTTATTTTTGTCTTAGCATAACAATTATTTGCTGTATGACCATTACGCCCACATTTATGACAAATAATAATATCTTTTGATTTTCTTTTAGATTTTTTATAATTTTGTCTATAGGGTTTTTTGGCTTTCGAAGCGTAATCTTTACCCTTTTTATAATTTTCTGGAAGATTATATTTCTTTTTCCTGAAATATTTTGAAGATCTTTTCTTAAAAACTTTAGATTTTGAAGTAGACGGACCATTCAAGGGCTGATAACCATATTGTTGGCAAAAATTTCCCAATTCATTTTTACTGTTAATTCTATCTTTTTTGAGTTTTTCTTTAAACCTAAGATCAGCACAAACTGCTAATCCCTCTTTATTAATATAGTTTATTAAATCTCCATAAGTTAGATTTTGATAAGGATGGTATTATTAAAATTTTCTCTTAATTTTTGTCGAACTCTTTCCGCAAAGAGTTTTGGAAGGCCAGCAATAAAACGTTCTTTCCAATAAGACTCTTTACAATCGGGTCTTGAAAAAACTTTAA